GGGAGGGGGGGAGGGGGCCCGGAAAGTCCCTGGGCGCCTGCCAGGAACACTCAGCTCATAATAACCTCGCGGAAAACACCGCGGCCTCGGCCTTCAGAAACCCCGGCCTTGCGCAATCCCCCGCAGCCCGCGCCTCCCTGGGCCCCACGCATTGTACTCACCAGCCCTGGGGGTTTTTCCCTTCTTTTCCTCTCAGGTTCCTGCACTTGGCCATCATCCATGAGGAGAAGGCACTGACTATGGAAGTGGTCCGCCAAGTGAAGGGAGACGTGGCCTTTCTTAACTTCCAGAACAACCTGCAGCAGGTGCGCCTCTCGCCCAGCCCGTGCCTCTCTGACTCCGTGGTCTAGCGCAGTGGCCCCCAGTCCTTTACAAACTAATAGCCGTGGTCGTTATCTACCCTGACCTTTTCTAGCCGAATCAGCCAGCATTCTGGAAAGTAAAGAACACCCCACTGATTTGGTGAGGCCTTTATGAAGCTCACCTGGGGCTTTGGGTATTTGTCTTGCCCCTTGCACCCGTCTGGGAGGAGCGGCCCCTGTAGCCTAGGGATCTCGGGGGTTCAGGGGAACTCAGACTGTGCTGTTTGGTCCATGGCTTAATCCTCTTTCGTTTCCCTCTTCTGTTCTGTAGACTCCACTCCACTTGGCTGTGATTACTAACCAGCCAGAAATTGCTGAGGCACTTTTGGAAGCTGGCTGTGATCCTGAGCTCCGAGACTTTCGAGGAAATACCCCCCTACACCTTGCCTGTGAGCAGGGCTGCCTGGCCAGTGTGGGAGTCCTGACTCAAAGCTGTGGGACCCAGCATCTCCACCCTATCCTGCAGGCCACCAACTATAAAGGTATGTCTGCCTGCCCTGCCCATCAGAGGGCAGGTGACACCGAGAAGGGAGAGGTGGGCCAACTTAAGGAGTCCAACAAGAGCTTCAACTCTCAACATGTGAAAGTTTGAGAAAATATGGATGTAAAAGGCCTATTGGATGCCTTAATAAAGTTCATTCAGATCCCAGATTCTGGGTTCAACTTCAGAAGAATTTGACCCTTAAAAGAAAAGGTTTTGTTTGAGATGTAAGGGTTGAAACAAGTGGTTATAGTTTCTTCCTTTTGTTCTTCTAGGCCACACGTGTCTGCACTTAGCCTCTATCCATGGCTACCTGGGCATCGTAGAGCTTTTGGTGTCCTTGGGTGCTGATGTCAATGCTCAGGTGAGTGTTTCACGTCTCCAGGTGGAGGGCGTCGGGCTCAGGGTCCTCCTCAGTGAGACTTCATGTGCTCTTGTTGCAAGCAGAAATTCCAAATTCAGCCATAAGCATCTCCAATTCCTTTTGGTTTCAGGAGCCCTGTAATGGCAGAACTGCGCTTCATCTCGCGGTGGACCTACAGAATCCTGACCTGGTGTCGCTCTTGTTGAAGTGTGGGGCTGACGTCAACAGAGTCACCTACCAGGGCTACTCTCCGTATCAGCTCACCTGGGGCCGCCCAAGCACCCGGATACAGCAGCAGCTGGGCCAGCTGACCCCAAAAAACCTTCAGATGCTGCCAGAGAGTGAGGATGAGGAGAGCTATGATACGGAGTCAGAGTTCACAGAGGATGAGGTGAGTCTCACCTTCGCCCTACAAAAAGCAGTGAGAATGGTCATTCTCCCTCCACCCTCCCAGGCCCCTAGAGCTCCTCTGTATCCAAAGGTCTCAACATAATGAAGTTCTCAAACTTTAGTATGCATAACCAGTATCCCAAGCGTGTGTCTCTTTTCCCTTTTTAAAGAAGAGCATTCAAGGAAAACTACCTCAGTCCATGAAGTTAATTTCTATTTGGGTTATAAAGAATGGAGTCCACAAATACTTGAGTTATTTCCAGTAGCAGCCCTTACCATTCTCTCAGCACCCCTTGGCCAAAAGTTTAACGTACTTTTTTTTTCTCTTGTTTTTAGCTGCCATATGATGACTGTGTGCTTGGAGGCCAGCGCCTGACATTATGAGCTTCGGAAAGTATCTGAAAGAACATGGACTTGTATATTTGTACAAAAAGAGAGTTTTATTTTTCTAAGAAAAAGGGGGAAAAAAAAAAAAAAAACCAAAGGGTGTACTTCAAACCACACTGCACACTGCCTGGCCTGAAACATTTTACTGGGGTGGATCAGCCCTCATTTTATTTTTGTGAACTTTGGAAGGGGGACAAGAAAGAGCATTGGAATTCAAAGAAGACCTCTTTTTAAACCTCACCGTTGTGGGGTTTTTCGAGAAGATGATCCAAAATTTGATGAGAGGACTGCATTTTATTTATTGTGCTTTTTGATTGAACCACCATGGATTCAGTGGCTGTGTCCAGTTGTATCCTGTGACATGCAACAATGAGGTGGTGGTAAACTTTTCAGTGGTGTGGGGTTAAAAGTCACTACCTGTCCAGGTTTGTGTTACCCTCCTGTAAATGGTGTACATAGTGTATTTTGTTGGTAATTATTTTGCTACTTCGAAGATGTATATTTATTAAACAGATTTTTACAAACTGAATTACCCTGACCGTTTTCTCCACAGCGCTGTGGGACTCCTATTCTGAGAGTCATTTGATCCTCAGGTGGAGGTGGAGAGCACCGTGGGAAAGCACTTACCACAGCCAGCCGCGGAACCCTTTCAGATAGCAGCTTCTCACACTTGTTACACACCATCTTTACAGGCAGCCCCGGGCCCAGTGTGTGGGAGTGGAGGCTGTTGCAAGATTGCAAGATAGGAAACAGGCAGAGGGGTGAGGGTGGGGGTGCGGGTGCAGCAAGCTGCTTGGCCTATAGCTGAAAGGCTCTCCATCACCATTTGTTTCTTTTTGGTTTAAATTATTCCAAGACACTTCCACTTTAGCAAATGATTTTGGCCAAGAGAAGTACTATGCTTAATTCACATTTTCTAGAGCTGGAAAAGATCCGCCTGTAATACTGGAAGTTCTAAGGATGTGGGCTCAGGAATGGGGCTGCACTAACATTAGCTAGCAAGTGCCCACCTCTGAGCCTTCGTTTCCTCATTTATAAACTGGGCTGTTGTGGAGACTGCACAAGACAATCCATGTAAGAAGCATAGCAGAGTGCCAGGCACATAGTGCTAAAGAAAAACACAAGCTATTGCATCACATCCTGTATTTCACATGGGAAGAAGAAACCAGTCCAGAGAGAATGTCCTGTCCAGGGTCACCTTGCAGGGGAGGCAGGTGGTTAACATTTAATACACTCGTTTTCAGATGGTTAACATCTTTTAGATGCATTCCACCAAGCCTATTTTGTTACCAGCTGTAGTACAAAAGTGATTAATAAAGGCATGAAGAATTCAAGCAACTCAATCATTCCAATTCTGGATGATTCTACAAAAGCAGATTTCACAAGAAATAAGTAACTTGTGAAATTTGGGTTTAGATGCTCTGAATTTCTATGTTTTCATCCCTAAAAATGCATTTCTTGCCTAGGTAGAAAGAGGAGGAAAGGAAAGTTTATGGCATTCTACAAAAGGCTGACTGGTGTATTATATAAACACAATTCATGTACTTTAGCTTACACCTAAGCATTACCATTGTATTACATTATCCCTCTCCTGACCCACAACTGATGTCAAAGTCAAGTGAATATAATGATCACCTTCCTCTCATACCAAAAAGGTGCCAATACTAGTGCATTGTGCAATAATACTAGTGCAATAATACTAGTGCAATAATAAAGGAATATTATTGTAGACTGGACACTGGTCAAAGCCTCAGTCATCTGGAGGTGAGCGCTGTGGGGACCCCTCTATCCATCTTGTTTTCTCTCAAAGTGCTCCAGGCCCATCACTGAAATTCCTTCTCCATCCCAGAGCACCTGAACACAGGTGTTATCTAACATACGGACCTCGATTAGGTTTGGTTCTCTCAGCTGATAAGTAGAAGAGGTAAGAGGGGTGGGGAGAGGGATAGCTACCTCATATCCAAAAGAACAAAGGTTGGAAACTTGGCTCCCAATTTTGGAATGATGCCCTTAGCGCTTTTCAGTCAGATGGGACTCCTTTTTCCCTATAATGGTGTTGAAACTGTGCCAAGTTGCCCATCACACTCACTCTAATTCTGTCTGTGCTAGAGGGTTGGAGAAGCAGGTCAAAGGGATGTAGCCCACTCTCCCTCAGCCTCCTTGGTGACTGGCTTTTGTGTAGAGGTGTCACCTTCCATGATCCTGGCAAAATGGGGCCTCTTCTGACCCATTTGGCCCCAGCCTCCCACCTTTCTAGGTTTCAGCTTTTCTGATCTTTAGGACCCCAACCTTCAGGATGGATTCCATCATCTGAATAAATCTCTAGGTAGCTGGGTCCAGCGAAGGACTGAAGTCAGCCCCCGTTCCTTACTCTCCAGTTCTTCGTCTTATTTCTTTGCTCCTTTCTTTTCTTTTTATTTTAAACCCACTTTTTCCTTCATTCCATCGGTTGTTGTGCTGGAGTTCCCTAAAGAAACATTTTAGACTTGAAGTATTCTAATCTGTAGAAAGTCTTCCTCAAATTTCTAAGCAAGCAAAAGTTTTCGAAGAAAATAGTTCAGCAGACTGAGAACCTTTTATGCACTTTGGTATTCATTTCTCCAAGAAGCTAAAGGTCCTGTTAGGACAGGTAGAAGAAATAAGGAGGCCTTGAGAAAAAGGGAAGTGACACAAGAGGGAAATAAAAAGTCACATCAGCAACTTCCTTGAATTTAGTTCCTTGATTCCTTCTGCCTGCCTCATCCTCGGGATAAATTTCCTTTATAGGTCACATGAACCAAGTCACTTCCAGAAGGAAGGGTTTTTCTTTCAGGAGGGAACAAACTTCCAGGCTGAGCAATTTGAAGACCTCCATGGGAGGCCTGGAAATGCCGGCTTCTGAGTGCTCTGGGGTATTTGCATTGACACTTCAGTCGCTACTGGAAGTGATTAAGTGGTGACAGAACTGAGTCAGTGAGATGGGTTCTTCCTTCGCCCCCTTTCCTCCTGATTTTCATCAACTTGCCCTAGGTGTAGTTGAGGTTTCATTTGGCAAGAAAGGTCAGAGTGGAACTCCAGTCAGAAACATGCCCAACAAGCATTCTCCAACCTCTGGTACTTGGACAGGACTATCCCCGGTCATTTCCCCATTTTAAGGGACCACTACAGGAACTGAAACTGGATATCCTGTGTAGACTCTCTCAGTCTCATTCATTCGTTTGCATTATAAAGCACTATTGTGCTCCAGGCTCTGTGCCAGTGGCTAGAGTTGACAAAGAGGAACTAGTCGTGGTCTCTGCCTCAAAGAGCTCCTCGCTTAGGTAGACAGGGAGACAAACAAGCATGTATAAGACAGGATGGTAAAATGAAGCACAGAACGTGATGTGAGCTCAGATCAGAGGCAGAGGATGGAGATCAAGGGCTTACACCCCAGGGGCCAGTACTATTTATTCCCTCATTTCATGTCCCAAGTGACCAGTAGCACCCTTTGGACAAGTGGCTGGAAACAGCTGTTCTCAGAACAGAACTCACTTCCATGTCGGGATTAAAGCAACCATCCATAACAGGCTACCTGTTCATTTTTACACCTGTATGTGATCCTAGATTGCAAAACTGAACCCCAAAGCAATTTCTCACTAGTCTTTGATTTAATGACAAATAATGTGCTTGCCTTAGTCCAGTGCTTCTCAAACTCAATATGCACTCAAATGCACACTTCAATATGCACACTTTGAAGAGCATTTTGGAAAAAAACCACGTTATTTTATTTATGTAGTTAAAGTTAGCACTCTCTGCCAATTCCTCTCAGTACCAGTGCAAAGCGGGCCAATCGCTTGGGCAGCTGCACATGAGGGTAACCCAGCATCAGACAACATGAATCTTTTGAAAAGTAGGGTTGGATGCTGAGGACTGACGTTAAAATAGGGGCCAAGGCCAACAAACTTGCCATCCAACCAGATAAGTGTAATAAAGGAGGCGGCTGACACAATACACGGCCAAAGATGGGAGCATCTGAGTTCTAAGAAAGGTATACAAAACTCAAGGAGGAAATGCGTTTCAAAGGTAATTCGCTAATTAAGATGAAAAGCTGGTTTATTGGTTTTTTCCCTTCTGGTTCACTTATTTGTTTTGTTTTATTTACCTATAGTCTGTCCTTTCCCTTTTTCTTTCCCTTGTCTATTTGTGTCTTAGACACCAAGGTGTGGGGAGCTCTGTACCTATATACCTTCTGAGAGCCCCCTAGGTCATATATTAACAAACTGGTCAACTTATAAGCCAATGAAGTTTTATTATAACACTGCTTGGCCCATATACATTCTCAATTCTAAGGAAAGGTAGCCTTTCAATGGGATTTTTGAAGTTAAAATTATTTTGTACACCAACTCTATCCTCAGAAACTTGGCAAAAGTAAGTCTTGAAAGGTTTTTCTGACTCTTAGTAACTTTTTTCAAAATGAAAAGCTGGTTTTTAAATTAGCTTGTTTGTACCTTTGTATGGGGTTGCTATGGCGTGTTAGGAGGGGCCCTGACCAGGCCTCTTCCTGGAAGGAGAGAAGAGGGAACTGCTTCCCTATGACAAAGTCCCCGCTATGTCCTTATCAGAATATGAGAAGCCTTAACAAGCAGCTGACTAAAATGCACCAGGGAAAACCTTCAAGAATAACCTCCCCTGAAATGTTGCCATCATTTCATATTTTCTAATTTAAACAAATCATTGAGTATAGGTTGTATGGAAAATATTCAGCTACTTAAAGGTAAGTTTAAAAAAAAACAACTTTTAGGTTGTCATATTTTCATTTTGTACATTTTATTCAAAATGTTGTTTAACTGATCTATGGTAATATATTATGGAATAATAGAATACATTTACTTTTTATTTATTAAACAAGTATATAGTGCTTACTACATACCGGACTCTATTCTAAGTGGCTTGCAAATATCAACTCCTGTGATCTTCAAACTGTTGTCAGAAAGTGAGCCCTTTTCGGCGTGAAACCCAGGTCCTTGGCAACTCGAGCAAGGAATTGAACGAGATGCCAGAGTAAAGCACTTAGAAAGTAGTTTATTTGAAAAGATAGTACATTTCAAAGAAGTAGAAGTAGGCCCAAGCAGTAGAGAATGGCTCAAGGGCCCATTATTAGAAGAGAAATTACATTCCAAAGAGTT